CTTTGGGGAGATCCACTTTGTAATAGAGCTTCACCAGAGGTGCGGGAGCAATAGGAGCGGGATCTGGAGTTGACGAAGGCCGGAGAGCATCCTCGGATGCTTTTTCCTTAGGCGCTGATTTGATCTTTGGCATCCAAACTTACTTAGATCTTGGTGATCTCTTAACCGCCTCTTCCTTTTGCATTTTCTGTGTTTTCCGCACAAGGGTCCGGGCATGCTCAAGCAAGGCGCGGCGCTTCTGGATTCGCTCCTCGAGAGTAGAGCGAGTTCTTTTGACACGAACCCATTCGTTAATTGGAGATCGAGAGGAGGATTCCGATGCTGGTCGTGGTGACAGATTAGCCACTTGGCGCTTTCTGAACTCCAGATCTGCTTGGTAATGGAGTCCATCTACCTGATCCAAAGCCTTGGCGAATTAGCGCGCGAGGCGTTGGCGTTTCCTTTGACGTGCTCTCTTTGATGGAGTTGGCGCGCCTTCAGCAGTCGGCTCCTTGATCGCGAAGGAGTTCAGATCTACAAATTTGGCTTCATTGAACGCCGGTGGATCATTGCAAGGTGCAACAGCAACAGCGGCGGAGAGATCGTCTTCTTGGGTCTTCAAATCTGAAGACCAGCAGACCTGCATTTGCCAGGAGAGGCGGATCTGGAGGAGGAGGAGGAGGAGACGTACTCCTCGAACTTTTGCTGGTCGAACTCGTATTCGACCTCTTCGAGCACCGGGATCTTGATCGTCAGCTGCGGCACGACAGCTTCGTCAGCGAAGCTGTTGACTCCCACTGTGGTCGCCAATTTGTTTACGGTGAAAGTTGTTGTTTTCATTGCTATCGAATCTATTACAACTTTAGTCGTCACAATAAACTCGAATAAAATAAAAAGTTGATCTTTTTATAAGATCTCCTTACACAATGAAAATAAAACAAGTTTACAACTTTGTCAAACAAACGCAGGGAGATCGTTTATCGGTCTTCTGCTTGCGTGGGATCTTTACCTGTGTCGAGGTTTATCCGTGGACCACCGTCGATCAGATCTGATTGCTGAAAAATTAGGCAGAGCTTCGTCTATCCGCGAAGGGATCGAGAAAACCGTAGCTCTTATCTCGGCGAAACGAGATAATCACTCTTCTTAAGATTACCGCAACGGGATAATCTTAAGGAACGGATCCGGGAAACTGTAGATCTGACGAATCTCTCTCTCTTGCGTTGAAGAACTCAATCCGATCTCTCCTCCTCCTCTCTGAAATCTGTGGACCTTCAGTCTTCAATCCGGCAGGGCTTCGCCTAATCTTCCAAAATTCCAGATCTGGAAAAATAAGGGTCCGGGGCTTGTATTTATAGGCTCGGGGGGAGTTCGGGCGGTTAAAACCGCGTAACAGACGGATTTTGGGTTGGAGACACCCAAGGGTGTCTCGGCCTTGGCCGAGACACCTTAGGGTGTCTCGTTTGGGCCGAGACACCTCGGGGTGTTGAGACGCCGTTTTTTTTTCGTATATTTGTTCGTTTCCGCTGTAACTTCTTCATCCGAACTCGGATTTGAGTGATTCAAAGTGCGTTGGAAAGCCGACGAGGAGTTCTATAAGATCCAATGATTAAATCATCCGCTGAACAAATGAGACACGAAGGGTATTTCACCGTTTGTGAATGATACGAGGTTTCCGATCAGTTCGTGTCTTGTTATTCTGAAACTCCGTTGCTTCACGTAGTTCGTCGGTTTACTTCAAGCGTTCACCGACATCAATCAAGTTTCTATGAACCAGATGGTGACGTTCATCGTCATTTCTTAACACTGAGCTGTTCGTGGAGACTTATAGGCAATTTTCGATGCCTACACTAATAACATGCGAGGTTTTTCTCTCTGAGCCAACCATTATAGATGTGAAAAGAAAGTTTAAGTTAAGAGATGGTTGATCATGGCATAAACTTTAAAGCAAAAATCAAATGTAGTGATTTCTATATAACATATTTTAGGAAATCTTACCAAAACTTTTATTTAAAAATTTTTAAAAATAAATCATACTCCCTTTAAAAGCACGAGTTCGGAAAATCTTTTTTAGAAAAATATACCCCTTTATAGTTTGAACTATCTTATCTATAATCAAATTCTAATTTTCAATGGTCAATATTACCCTTCACTATTTTAAATATTTTATTTATATCTTAATCTATCCTAATCATAATCATATCTTATCCTAATCCTATGTGAAGCATGTTTAGCTTAACAATTTAAAAAAACTAATATTAATAAAATATATAAAACATAAAAATGATATTAGTTTGTTAAGATAAAGAAATTACAAGTAGATAACATATTATAATACATGAAGTATTGCAAAAATCCATAAAAAGTTTTAAAATTGTAGAAAAGACCCTAAAAAGTTCAAAATTATAAAACTCATCCAAATGTCTCAAAACTTAAAATAAAAAACATGAAATTAAAAAATTAACATAAGTTTGCAAAGAATTTAAAATTTACAGTTAACACCTCAATGTCTCAAAAATTATAGAAACACCATCAAAAGTTTAAATTACAGACAAGCACATTAAAATTCTAAAATTTTAAAACTTACAAACAACACAGATGAATTCAAGAGATTACCATGATACACCTAAAATTTTTTACATTTAAATTTAAATTTTTTAATTAACACCCTCAATATCTTAAAAATTATAGAAACACATTCACAAGTTCAAATTATAAAAAGCCTCCCTAAAATTCTAAAATTTATAAATAAAATAAGATGAATTCAAGATATTACCCTTAGACACCTAAAAAAATTAAAATTTGCCAAAATTAACCTCAAAATTTTTTAAAAAACTCCTTCAAAATTTAAAAATCGTAAAAAAAAAAATCTAAATTTTCAAAATTTTTAACTAGCACACATCAAATTCGTCGATTGGTAGACCGCTAAAATTTAATATTTTTCAAAATTAATCTATAGTTTTAATAATTGTAAAAGACACCCTTAAAATTTTAGAGTTACAAGAAATATACCAACATTTAAAAAATTACCACCAACACATGAAACATAGAATTTATAACTACCAAACTTAAAAGTAAATTTTTTTAAAAACTCTTTCAAAATTTTAAAAATTACTATCCATTTTCAGCATCTAAGAATAGTCTAAGTTGATACTGGTAAACAAAAACAATAAGAATTGATTAAAAACATCCGGTTAATGGATAAAATTTTTAAAAATATTATAGATTAAAAATTATCGGCACTATATAAATTAAAGTAATTTCATATAATTTTAGTAATAAGTTGGGGTAGCCAAAATACATTCGTAACATTAATTGATAGATGTTTAAATCCATAGAAATGATAAAACACTATAATATTATACCTTAGCATTAATTGATTTTAATTTAGAAACTTTAATCTTTGACGTTAATAATATTTATAGGGTAAAAGAATACAAGGAATTACATATGGAGAAACTATTAGAATATTTAGAGATAACTTTAAAAGAATTGAGTTATTTCCATTGCAAATGGGAAAGTGATGGAAATAAATCTAAAATTCAGAAAACGTCAATGAATCACTTGAATTGGCATTAACATAAGACATATCTATTAATGAAGCACTGAATGAGTTACATTAAAAAATAATTTAATAACTTTATCCTAATCAAAGAAAAAATCTCCATGGAAGACATAAGAAAAATTAGTAAGTATTCATAAATTCCATACTGTGTTCTTCAAATTAAATATTAATATTATAATCTAAGAGAAATTGGTAATGAATAATGCAGGTATTTAGTTTAGATCTTTATGGAAAATGACAGGGATAGAGCAAAGGTAATATTATTGAAATAACAGAAATTCTTATTGGATGCACATCAGAAGAATTCATTTTAGAGGAAAATAAAGAGATAGCTTCTAATTTATTTAAGTAATAAATTAGGAACACAAAGAATTTTATATATATGAAATTAATATTTATTCTCATTGAAATAGAAAAAAAATCAAAGTCTATATTTTGAGCAGTTTGTGTTGAACATCATAAGTACATTTGACTTCTTTGTAAAGTTAAATGAGATGATAAAAAATTAACGAGCCCAGGAAAGATAATAGCATAAAAAATATAAAATTAGCCTGATGTCACAATTGATGTAGATGATGAAGACAATACTCTAGAATTGTCCGAGAAATGATAAATGATAAACCTGAAGAAGGATTGATCTTAACTCAATAAAAAATAAAATAGAAGAAATAAAAACAATATTTTATGAATATTTTATAGAATAGTTTAATTATTTTGAGTGAAATTAGGAATCTTTAGAAGGGAGTTTCATGAATTTTTTTCAGTACTTTTATATTCTTATGTGGATGTTTTTATCATATAAAAGTATACTAGAGTTAGTATTAATCTTTAATTTATATTTTTTTATAAAGTCTATCAATGATTAGGATTAAACTTCATATTCTCTTTTGCATCGTTTTAACATACTTTAAATCAATCATTTTGCCATATTGGTTTTAAATATTCACCTTCCTTGTATAATACTATTTTAATATTTTTCACTTTGCAATGCTATACTTTCTTAAATAAAGCTTAGTTTCATATCGGTCAAAAATAATATGAAAATTCAAATTATTTTTAAATTATATTTGTTTTTTGTCAATTCAAATATCAACATGAAAATTTAAATTGGGTGTATCCCATTTAAACAAACATAAAAAAATAATCGGGATGTAAGAGTTTAAAGAAAAAAATGAGCACAAACTGCCAAAAATACTCATGGTATTAAATCACGTGCATTGCACGTGTGTAAAAACTAGTAAAAATAAAACATAGTAAAAGAAGGGTGAAAAAGAAAAAGAAAAAGAAAACGGGGAAGAAAAGAGCGAAAGAAAGAAAGATACCCACAAACGACACTGGGCCCAAAGAGTTTATTCTGCTAATAGTAAAACAAATAAAAGCCCGGCCCATATTTATTCCCCGTCCTCAGCTAGCCTCCTTCCCTTGCTAATCCTGATTAAAACTGAAGCCAAATAAGTAAAAGCAGAAGATTCCATGACAAACCTCCTCCTCTGCTTTCAAATGCCCATTCACCATTCAAAATTTTCGTGGCTGTAAGAGAAACCCAACTGTTAATTTTTGCCCTTCTCCAAATTTTCGTGGCTCGTCAAAGTTCCTTTCCCTCTGTGAGCCTCCTCTTTAGCCCGGTGTAATTGTTATTTTATTTTTTTTATTTTTAATCTCTTTGCTTATTTTGATTGATTTGAAGACTTGGGTAAGGACCAAATTGAAGTTTCTTCTGCGGTTATCCCTTTGTTTTGATTGATTTGTATGTTTTCTGCTGCGAAGCTGATTAATTTACTCGTACAAGTGTAAGTAGACTTAAATTTGTACTGTTAATACCTCATATGTTGGATCAACACTTCTGTTGTATTTCGTTCATCTAGGTCTCTCAGAGCCTGATGATTCTTTCATTTTGTTTGCTCATATGATTGACTTCGGGAGGGGATTTGGGTCAGCTTTCCCGGGCAAAGTGTTCCTTTTTAGCTGGAGATCGTCAGTTTGGAAATTATATTACTTAATTTACTGTGGTTTGTTTTAGCCTTTCAAACTAGTCATTGTGTGGCAATAGCTTGTAAATTTAGTTGCTAATGTGGTTATTAAGCTTTGTTAGGTGGCTACTTCTAGTTGAAACCGTACCCGTGTCGTATCCTTACCCAACACCGAAACTCTAGTTGACACTCCTTAGATATTTGTGTCGGTGCACGGCACCCACCCCGATTGTTATGCGCCAATCGGCGATCTATGCGGAAGCATCACAAAAACACCTAATTAGATCTCCTCCTTTTTAGACAGTTGATCATCAGGCGACTTGAAAAATTCGAGAAACTATAAGTTCGATCAAAAGAGAAAAAGACAATATACCGCAGAAAATAGATCAAAAGACAAGTACACGAGATTTATGTGTTTCGGCAATTGCCTACATCCACGGAGAGAGAATTGAGTCTTCTTTTATTCTAGAGATTATAAAATAATTTATTCTTGTCATCTAGATAGATTCCAGAAGAAACTCTCTCTCAATCTCGCCAAAAGATCTCTCAAAACCCAAGATTTCTCCCATTATTTCTCTCTACTTCTCTCTTACAATATGCAACTCTCATTGGGTTTCCTACTGCTTTATTTATAATGAAACTCTCAAGGGGCATTTAAAGAGTTTCCCCTTACTTAAATAAATGTAAGACTCATTCTTTGACTTGGATTATCATTCCAATTTTTTTCCAATTAGTATTTGATTCCTATGATAATTAATTCTTTTCAATTAAATTCAATCCCAATCTAAGCCCAGCTGGGATTTCTTTGAGTACAAGGCTATTTCCCAACAATCTCAACCTTAGACTTGTATGAAGCTACCTTCAGAAACGCCAACCCTTCCTTGTAACCTTTCATCGTAAACTTGTCAAATTGTAGAGAACGAACATCTTCGAAAGATCACCTTAAGTCACTTTTCTCAAAGGGCATCGGAACGATCACCGCTCACACATTGATATCAAGCCTTTTGATGACTTGCCACAGACCTCCATTGCTGCACTCTCTAAGCTCGGTTGTCGACTTTTTGCATACTTCGTCTTAGCTCTCCTCCTGACGTCGAACTCTCATTTCAGCTCTTCTTTGGAACCCAAGTTCATCGCAAGCTTTTCTTCTTCGTGGTTATACACCCTCTTGAAGACGAAGCTCCACCTTGAACACTAGTTCCTTCAGACACTCAATATAAGTCATCTCCACACTTCTTCCCAACTAGGACTAGATCCTTATCGTGGTATATTATAATGACTCCTTTGTGCACTTGAGTTTAGTTGCCTATAGAGTATAGGACCCTAGTGGATATCAGATTCTCCCTCGCCTTCGGGATGAACCAAACATTCTCTAAGGCAACCGTGCTCTCCCTTTTTTCCGCCACTATAATTGCTCTTATACAGCAACATTGCACATTGTGCCATCCAATGTGTAGACAGTCTCTTTGACTCCTTGCACTAGCAAGTCAGATAGGCTTGTTTGGGAACATATATGAGCTAGTGCTCCAGAATCCAATATCCAACCACCACAATAAGTGTTATTCCCAGAAACCAGCAACACCTTAACCTGCTAACTTTCTTCCTATGAAACCGCCAACACACCATCTAGGTGATTTCCTGTGATACCCAGTACATACAAAGTTTGGGCCACCTAATCCTCCATCTTTTCGGATCCCCTTCAACTCTCTTACCGTTTGAAGTAGTTTTTCTTGATGTGACTCTTCCCTTGGAAAAAGAAGCACTGGTTAGCCCACAAACTTGTCCTATTTAAAGATCTCTCCTCTCATATATCTTCTACCAACCTAACAATCTGACATCATAACTGGACTCATCACTAATATTCTGTCGCTACTGAAAGTCATCTGGGAGGAGTGCCGCTTTGACCTCAACTATGGTGATTGTCGCCTTTATCTTTTTTTGTGAATTTTCTGCTTGCTGTTATCCTTTTTTGATTGATTTGTATGTTTTTTGCTGCTAATGATTAATTTACTCGTTGAAGTGTAAGTAGACTTAAATTTATATTGTTAATATCTTATATGTTGGAGATCAACATTTGTTGATGTATTTTATTCATCTGGGTCTCTCAGAATTTGATGATTCTTTCATTTTTTTTGATTTGATTGATTTGGAGAATGCATTCGCGTCAGTGTTTTTGGGCCTAGTGTTCTTTTTTAGTTGGAGATTGTCAGTCTGGCAATTAAATTACTTAATTTATTGTGGAGTTTTTCGCTTTTCCAACTATTCATAGTGGCACTTGCTTGTCAATCTAGTTGCTAATGTAGTTATTGGGGGAAATTGGTTTTTGAGTTTCCGTAAAGAGAAGGGTGCACATTTTACTTAAAATTATATTTTCTTTTTAACTCGCGTGATAGTTTCCCTTCTGAAGTAATTGGTATGTAATATTGTAGTTGACTGAGATATAATCATGCAAACTGTTGAATTTAAGGATATTATTTTGATAGCTGAAATTGTGATTGTCTACTATTAGGCTGATAATTAGTCATTTGATATTCTTTTGTTTCTTTGGTTAAGTTGGAGAGCATTGGATGAGACGTTCTAGACCTTTGGATGTCCTGTGGTGGAAATTACGTTGCAATCAAATAGCATACTGTATTCAGTCGATTGAATTGTTTAATCCATATATAGAAGTACAAATCAGATAGTATATATGTAGAAAAACAATTGATTAGATTTCTCTCTCTGATTTGAATGTTTCCATTAGGGCAGTTGAGTGTTAAAAAGAACTTTGAGTTAATTAAAATATTGCATTTTTGTGGAGTTCTTTTTCTTATTTGGGTTAGGGACACAATAATATTTCATAAGCTTCTATTCGTTAACATTAATTGTGTTATTAATATATTTATTTTGGGGTTTTTGTTTCTAGGCCTAAAAGTTTACCCCGATTTATCTTTAAACCTAACATCTTTGACTTGTATCTTTAAACCCTATTAGCCTTTTGTATCTATCTTTAGACTCAACTTTCAAAAAACAATACATACATATGTGGGACCCTCTTAAATTAAAAAAATCAATTCTACCATTTCCCAACCTCCCTTTATTCCTGTGTTGTATCATATGGGGGTCCCTTATTTAATTTTAAAAAGCCAAATTAAATATGAAATGAGGAGAAAATGGGTTCTCTTCCTGCGTTCTTCTCCCTTTCTCTCTCTCTCTCTCTCTCTCTCTCTCTTCATTTCTCAATTAATTCCCCTCTCTCATCCATTATTCTCTTTATTTCATTCTTTCACTTTTATAAATCCATCAACTAATTCTCAACCACTCTTATGAATCTATCAACTAATTCTCAACTTTCAGATATTTCTGCTATACTTTCAGATTCTCCTGTTATACTTATGTGTTTGGTATGACTGTGTACTTGCATATTACCACACTATACTTTCATGTTATCACGCTATACTTTTAGATTATCTCACTATACTTTTAGATTATCACGCTATACTTTCAGAGTATCACGCTATACTTTCAGATTATCACGCTATACTTTCAGATTATCTCGCTATAGTTTTATATTATCACGCTATACTTTCACATTATCTTGCTATACTTTCAAATTATTGAACTATAATTTCATATTATCCTGCTATGCTTTCATATTATCTCGCTATACCCTCATGTTATCCCACTATACTTTCAGAATATCCTGTTACACTTTCATGTTATCCCGCTATACTTTCATATTATCTCGCTATACTTTCAGAATATCCTGCTATACTTTCATATTATCTCGCTATACTTTCAGAATATCCTGCTATACTTTCATATTATCTCATTATACTTTCATATTAACATACTATACTTTCAGATTATTCCTCTATTCTTTTATATTATATCGCTATACTTTCAGAATATCCCTCTATACTTTCATATTACCACGTTATACTTTCATGTTAACACGCTATACTTTTAGATTACCACGCTATACTTTCATATTATCACGCTGTACTTTCAGATTATCCTGCTATACTTTCTTCATATTATTTTCACTTGATTTCTATACTACTTATGAGAGAATTAAAAGAGTTAAGTCAATTTCCATAAATTCAGCTGGATCTGCGCAAAGGAAACCAAAATTAAAACGTAAAATTACATGAATACATCAAATAACCATTAACCATATATGAACAACATACGCAGATACAATACAACTTTCAGTATTTACATTCATCCGATAACCATTGACCATACATGAACAATATGCACAAAAGCATAGCTCTGCTCATGTTAAAAGAACACAAAAGCATAGTTCCATTTCTAACAAAAGCATCAACTAGAGGTGAACCATCATACATCAAGCACAATTCAGGACTCAATAAATCAACAATAAAAGACCATACATGAAACTAAGCATGTACAAATGACAATGTCATAACTGTATTCCCTTCCTTTTGGATCTTTAATAAGCAAAAACTCGGCTCAGTTGATCCGCCCTAACTAGTTGATAAGAATACCAATGCGGTCCATTCTCTCTTTGCAGTCCAAATTTGAGTATTATAATGCAAAACCATTATAGCGAGAAAACGTTTGAATATAACATGATGATATTTTAAGTATTATAATACAAAAAACCAATTGCGTTGTCTCATATGAAAGTGGCAGCAAGCAATACCAAAAAGAAGCAAAATAATATCATTTGTGCAACTAAACTAAGGGTGTAAATGGTACACGATAAACCCAATCCAGCCGACACAAAAAATCAAATTCAGATTGTAGGAAAGTACACCCAGATTAACGCTATCTAGATTGGTCAACAAAAATCGGATTCAAATAGTGAAAAGCGTACACAGATTCTAGTTACCTTACTCCTTGTTTGGATGGAGGGTAGAGAAGGTAAGGAAAAGAGAAATTTTGGTTTATCTTTGTTTGAGAGTTCTATTTAGAAGGGTAGAGGAGGAGAATGAGGGGAAAATTTAAACTAAAATCTTACCCTCCAAATTGAGGGGTAAATATGAGGAAGGGAAGGACGGGAAAAAATTTCTCTTCCTTTCATTCCCTTAGTTATCTCCCAAACACACCATTAATTTAAAATGTAGACCAACTATTAGGAAGACCCGGAGTAATTATTTCTTCAATCTCTTCACCACAAGCTGTGTAACCAGAAGCAGTTTTTTGCCAAACAACATTGAACCCCTTAACCGATAAAATAGAAAAGTCCGACCAACACAAAAGAGTGGTTCCCATTTAGCAAGGAAACACATTAACAATAGAGCATCAAGAGTGCATTAGAGTCGAAAATCTTGTGTTACTTATGAGTGAGTTACAAGGAAACCCCCGGTGACATGGTTAAACATGTTCTTAAAGGTCTGAACTTTATATAATGTAGGAACTAAAATTGTAAGAAAAATAAATTAGAGTAATCATCTAATGGTTAAATGTGTCATATTCTGGGGCAGAGCCACATTCATTTGAGGTTGAGCATGTGACCTACCTCTTTAATTTTTAAATCCGCCAAATAAATCTTATTTTGAAAATACCATATAATGTATAACTAATTGTGTCCAAATCCACATAAATTAATACAATTACATATATTATGACTATTTTTGTAGTTTAAAATTTTAATATATTTTGTTATTTATCATGATAGTATTCTTGTTCATATTCCTCGAATCCTCTGTTTCTCTGATTCCTTGATGGGCTTTAATCTATCAGCAATGCCACCTGACACCTGATGAACAACATTACCCTGTTCCCACTTAAATTTCTCTTTGACATGCAACTTCTTAGTATAAGATTCATAGGATCCTTCACTTTATGTTGGAATACAATTTTCATCACACTTCTTCAATAAAACCATATCTTAGATAACCAGCATTTTAATATCCTCAACCCTCTTTTAATGTTCCGATGTACTTCTTCTTCTTCTTATTACCCTTTCTTCCATAAATACCCTTAAAGATCTCATTTGAAATTTCACTAAAAAATTATCTCTCCACAAAAACCCCGAAGAATTTGATCTCAAAACTATCAGCAATGCGACCAAAACAATTATGTTATTTTTTTATTAGCGTCCCACTCTTCAGTAATCTCCCAACTGTTCCATGAATTTGTAGTTTTGTTAGTCTAAGAAGTGCAAGTTCCTCTGCAGGTTTTCAAGTGAGCTGTGTTTTTAAATGCTTTCTTATTTGAGAGATATTTTCATGCCATGAATTTGTGTTAATTTAAGAAGTGTGACTTTCTTTTCAGGCTAATGAAGTGAGCCATCTTCAGAAATTCTTTCTTATTGCGGAATTACATAAACATCTGGTACTAAGCTTTTGTACTTGTGTCTTTACGGCTATGAGGAAATCATGCTAACTTCATTGGCAGTTGGGAAATTATGGACTATTGGAGAGCCAAACTCCTTTCTAAAGGCTAGTCTAGGTGGTATATCACAAGTTAGTACTAAAGGGTGCAATGTGCCTTTCCAGAATTCCTTAGAGAGCCATCATGTACATAAATTACATACCTGTTCTCCCTTTAGAATTCCTGCTTGCGGATTAAGGAGTCAGCACCTATGGGGAGATTGTAAACAAGAAATACCAAGGAGCTTACTGGTATGCTGCGTTATATTAATATATTGATTATTTAGAGGGAAATTTTGATTTTTGAATCAGTTTTTTTTTTCATTCTTCTTAGTGCCATCTGCATGTTAGTGCATCATCAGATGAGGATTATCGCTCATCTCGCAACATAGCAATAAGCCTGTTTAAACGGTACAGAAATGTAATTGATCGCGGAGGTGGGGATAACCTAAAAGTATGTGCTTTGCTTATTTATCTCAAATTTTGTCACCATATGAAAATTTTGTAATTGCTTGTTTTTCTAATCAACCGATGCTATTTGCTGCTTTCATCAGGAATTTATCAATGCTGGGGTGAATGCATATGCTCTTGGTTGTACTGATGAGGGTTTAAGGAAAGAACTTCTTGACATGAAGAATTCTGGCACTGAGGTTGAAGGGATGGAAACATATGGTGGGGGCACAAGCTTGAGGTTCAGAATTCTTTCAGATGAGGTGAAATTATCCAAGAAATAGACATCAGATTCATTTACTTGGTGTTTCAAAATTATTTAGCAATTTCTGTTGACGAATACATCTTGCTTCAGTAACAATTCTTTTTGGTTGGGCTAAAATAGGTTCTCATTAGCTCAATCAATTAGTCAATCCTGGTTCAGTTTACCATGCCATATCTTAGTTCTATAGGCACGTGACATCCAAATTAAGGGCTGTTTGGTTGGATGGAAATGGATTGGAAATGTAAATAGAGCAACCAAATTTGTAAATACATTGTTTCGTTTATAACTTTGTAATTAGGAAAGGTAAATTGACTTGCATTTTGTGGAGAAAAAGCTTGCAACAAATGCTACATACAATTTGTTGGGAGGAAAAGCTGCAGACTTCAAAACAGGTAATTAAACAATAAAAAATTCCACTTCATAAAAAAATATTTTTAAATCCAAATAGGAAAACCATCTACACCCAAGTTTCCTTATATGACAAAATTTGTAGTTTTTGCCTAATTGTTTTTCAACCAAACACTAAACTTGTATTTGAAAATACATTTCCTATAATTGTAGATATCCGAACATTGAACTTGAAGTTCATTTCTTGCAACAAATGCTGCATGCAATATTTGTTTCTGCAACATTTACTGTTATTTATTTTTGCAGCAAACCAAACAGCCCCAAAAGTGCACTGAAGCTCATCATAGAATGCAGCCAATTTTGTTAGGATCAGATTACATGGTAAATCATCATATGGAACAAATAGGATAAAAATGTGAATTATATGATCATTCGTCATCGCTCTCAGAAATGATTGGAAGGCTAAGGGTATAGATGAAAAAGAGTAAAAAACTATGAAATATCTCTTCAATATTTCATTTCCACCATAACTTATTCGACTTGTTTCATGAGTTCATTTTTCTCATAGTGTTCTGGTTTTCAAACTGAACCTTAACCATCTTTGGTAATGAACGACAGAATTACAGCAAAAGAATAATTTAGTAAACACATGTAGTGAAGAACTTACAGATTTTGTAATTGAATAGAAAGAAAAATGTAACTTATTCAGTATTTCATGGTAACCAAATAGAGTAAGCTACAGCTCTACTGTCACTTCATATTACTATATGGCTAGTTGTATTTTTTCACCTGTTCCACAATTACTCCGGAGATCAGATTGTCCTGTAAATCTAACCTTTTAGGGATTATACATGCTTTTTCATTTTTGAGTCCACCACGTTCTTAAGTGTGCATGAAAACTATGCTTTCTTTCTTTCTTTCTTTCAGACTGCTGGTGTATCTTTGAGCTAGCTATTTAGTACCTACTAAGGTTAAATATTTGTTTGCTGTGCCTTCCTGTATAATTTCAATTCCTGTGTAATTTCAATCAGTGCAGCAAAGATTTAAGAGTGTTTCTCTTTGGTTCTTCAAGAAGTGTTGTGCTTTCGAACTCGATGTTCATCCTTCCCTTTATAGCCTCTTTATTGGGCTTAGACGATTTCGGGGTTTGTTACTCGTTTTGCATGAGCTTGATTTGTCTAAATAATGCAATCATTTTCTTGTATGTCAACTGGCCCTCCAGATGTATGGAGAACCCTTCGCCTTTCCCTAAATTTCTTACTAGGGATTTGGCACCAATACAGATGATTACTGTTAGATACCTAGGCAGTTCGCGGTTTTTGGTGGGGGTCTATTCAAACTGGTGTTGTTCTCCATAGTCAGACTATGTTCTGATTACAAAATATTTTAAGGTGATGACGTCTAGTATCATAGGATAGTCAAAACATGTTGATTCCATGCATATTTCTACCATTTGGCATGACTCTTTCAAAAATTTTCTTTCAGAACTGCAAAACTCTGTCCATTGGATAGTGGAGAATTGTTTATCAGATAAGTTATTTTATGCATGTGTGATTCATTAAAAGGTTTTTTTTACATTTCATATCATTTTTTGTTGTCATGTAGGTCCATGAGTGTATTCTGTGGCTTAGTATCGTGTTTATCACCATTCTGTGCACACCACAGCCAACTGTAGTCAGGTGGTCGTCTATTCCACCTGTCTCGACTGACATCATGCTTCAGTGGAAAGGGTTTTGTGCTCTTATAGCAAATGCTTATTATACAAGAGGAATGGCATGGTAAGGATGATCTGGCATTGTACAATTATGTTTTCCTTCTTTAGTATCTATCATTCACTATATTGTATGGTGTATTTTGGAGTTTTGTACTACAACATGATAACAATGACATTTTTGGGAAAACCGTGGGATAAGCCTTTCATAATCAGGTAAATCATTTTGACAAGATAATATAGTGTTGAAAATCAATAACATATTTGAGATTTCTTTATGATGGTTGTGGAATGAAGTGGGGTGTGTGTGTATAGAAATGATATAGGTTGCGGGTTAATGTCAATTATGAAGATTTAAAGGTTTTCTATAAGTTTCATAGACAAGATAGTAGTTGGAACTTTGCGTTGCCTGTAGAGAACTGAAAAGAATGACCATAAAAAAAAGTAATTACTTCCTCAAATTGATGAACCATGATCTAATTGACCAACTACAAGGTGCTCAACTCTTTTCAATTTAGATTGTGGTCAAGCTACAATCAATTAAAAATTAAATTAGAAGACAATACCAAGGACTGCCTTCAAAACCGGATATGGTCATTATGAATTTTAATGATGCTCTTTGGACTGTCTATGCTCTGGCTGCATTTGTGGACTTAATGAATTGAGCATTCCAATCTTATTTGGACAAATTTATTGTGGCTTTCATTGATGATGTCCTAATCTACTCTGAGAGCCTTCACGAACATGAAGAACATCTAAGAATGGTAAGGATGATCTGGTTTTGTATAATATGTATTCCTTCTTTAGTATCTTACATTCACTACATTGTATATATTACAAAATGATAAAAGTGACCACGAGAGTTGTCCTGTATAGCCGAAAAGAGTGGCAGTCTCCTTCCTCGTCGATAGTCTGTTTGGACTTTTTTTAGCATGTGAAGATGTATGGCATAGCCTGTATCACAGTGATATGAGAAGGCTATTATAGCTAAAGTAAAACTCTCCTACGTTCTGGTACTAATGTATTTCTATTACTGTGCTGCCAATATCAGGTTGTGGTTGGGTCCTCTTAGTTACTGATGTATGCTGAATCTTGAATATTGGTCAGACCATTTTTCTTCTGACATTCTTTA